CGGAGTCGGAGTCATCCTCAGAGTCCTCCACCGGAGACAGCTGGGGGTCATCCTCGGAGTCGGGGTCATCCTCGGAGTCCTCCACCGGAGGCAGCTGGGGGTCATCCTCGGAGTCCTCCACCGGAGACAGTGGGGTGGCAGCAACACGGACCCCGACGGGCGCCGGCTGGGTGGCAGCAACACGGACCCCGACGACGGGAGCCGGCTGGGTGGCAGCAACACGGACCCCGACGGGCGCCGGCTGGGTGGCAGCAACACGGACCCCGAAGGGCGCCGGCTGGGTGGCAGCAACACGGACCCCGACGACGGGAGCCGGCTGGGTGGCAGCAACAGGGACCCCGACGGGAACCGGCTGGGTGGCCGCCTCCCGAACCGCCACAGGAAGACACTGGGTCTCAGTCTCTTGAGAACCGTGCTCCTCTGTGTTGGAAGAAAAGCAGTGTGAGGAGACTGGTAAAGGCAGTCACCCCTGGGACAGGCAGGAGTAGAAGCCAAAGGTTCCTGAACACAGGACTATGTGGCCTCCAACATTTCCAAAACCCATTTCCCCAGTGGATCCCTCCCAAGGAGCCAAGGCTTGCCAGGCAGGACAACCCTACCTATTCCCACCAGCCCATACCTTGTATTACTTGCTTGCAGAAATAGTCAACCAAGTTGGAGATCATTTGGGAAACATCCTTTTGGTAATCAGGAGGCCCAAATATCAAAATCTCAGCTTCCTCTTCAGCTTTCCACTGGTTCACCTGAAGCACTGTACGTGTCACACACTCCACACGCGGGATGTACTTTCCATCCTTACCTGAGCAGGGAAAAGGAGGAACATGAGGGTGAGGTGGCTTCCACTTCTTGGCACATTCGTTCAGAAGTTGAGGCAACTGAGGGCAGGCGGTATAAGCCTCGGGCCACAGCCACCGGCCAGGCTTTCTCTATAGCACATACTCAGACATAGAGTCCAGAAAAAGGTTGCCTCTGCCTTCCCTTCCCAGGTTACTCACCAAACATCTTTTCCACCAGCCAAGCATCCACATACACTGTTTCTGGACCATCCAGATAGTCGGGATGGAGCCACAGGGGCAGCTTGCGAGAGTCTCCGACCACTTTAAATGAAGTCCCTTCTTGGTGTTGCAGCTGGACGAGGGACTTAAAGCTCTTAAAGGCGGTCATACTGCAGCAATATCGTTGCAAACAGCCTGTGCAACTGCACACTCAATAAAGCAAACCTGAAAGAAGCCCCTCTGGTGAGCCCTATTTCAATGGCTGTTTGCTAGCCCCGCCCCACCCTTGTCCTTCCAATTGGATCTCAGGCCTTG